TTGTCTGCAGGCAAGTCAAGTTCGAAGATGGGCTATATCGGTCCACGATATCGTATAGTCCCTATATAACGGTACCCCCGATATTCGGTATTTTGATGATGTTAGCCACATTTTTCAATGGAATTGTCTGAAAATCCACACAAGTAGTTCCTTGTGGGTACTTTATACCTCGGCAGATATATAGTGCCACAATATCGTATAGCCCCCATATAACGGTACCCCTCGGTATTCGGCATTTTGATGATTTTAGCCACATTTTTCAATGGAATTGTCTGAAATTACACAAAAGGAGTCCCTTGTGAGAATTTTACCCTCTCAAAAATAATTGTTTATATAGGTCCACGATATCGTATATGCCCCATATAACGGTACCCCCCGATATTCGGTATTTTGCTGATTTTACTCACATTTTTCAACGGAATTGTCTGAAAATCCCCACAAGGAGTTCCTTGTGGGTACTTTTTACCTCGGCAGAGAATTATCTACATAGGTCCGCGATATCGTATAGCCCCCATATAACGGTACCCCCGATATTCGGTATTTTGATGTTTTTAGCCACATTTTTCAACGGAATAGTCACAAGGGGTTCTTTGTACGCAAGGTGTTCTTTGTGAGCACTTTACCCCCCGACAGAGAATTCTCTATATAGGTTAACGATAACGTATAGCTCCCATATATCGGTATCCCGCGATCTTCGGTATTTTGATGATTTCTAATCGAATTGTCTGAAAATCCACACACGGAGTTCTTTGTGAGCAGTTTACCCCCTGAAACGGAATTGTCTATATGGGTCCACAATATCGTATATCCCCCCAAATATCTGCACCTTCCTATATTAGATATTTTAAAGATTTTAAAAGATTTTTTAATGGATTTTATTTTTTTGAAAATTTTCTAATTCGGTCCAAATGGTGGGGGGTATTCAAAGTTCGGCCCGGCCGAACTTACTACTTTTTTACTTGTTTTTTTCTGATTTTGTATAAATTATGTACTGATCCTGCTACCCTGGTCCAATTGGGTTAAATTTTGGATCTTACGATATGGTTCCATTTGGAATAGAGTCTGCCAAGTTTGGAACAAATCGTTTAAGTCACATCCCTAACTCTCTACATATGTTTTCTTTGAATTTTAATGCCAATTCCGAAACAAATTGCCAAATTTGATGGAAGCCGATTACGATAAAAGTTTTTATATATATGTTCCATCCGATTTCAAATTTAAACCTCTCCAAAGTCTTAAAACGAAATGTTATGTTTTAGTTTATACAAATATAAACCAAAATATGTAATGGGAAGAATGTGCAAAGCCCGTCTGATTTTGGCCTTCTCTAAAATTGAAGTGAACATAATTATTTTTTTTAATTATGATATGTATATTCTTCAACAACTTTTAAAGATCCTCCATTATTATGAACATATTTACACACTATTGCTTTAAAGCATAATCTATTTATATTCTCTAAACTATTACAATTTTTGGCAAAAGTTTTTCAATTATTTTCCTGTTCATTTAACTTTTCACTATAACGGTGTGGTCGGCATATTTTTTTTAAATTTGTAACAGAAATTCGCATAAATTGCCATATCATTAGTCGTATCATTTGCAAATTTGCATTGCAATTTTTTGTAGTCATCGTCGTCGCATTTTTTGTGCCAGCACATTAACCGCTGCAGGGCACGACGAGAAAATTTACAACAAAGTGCTGCATAATTGTTTTGCAATGCCAATAAATTGCCAGTGTAAGCGTTGTTACTTCGGCATTTGTAGGAATCTCTGAGGCAGCTCCTAGCAGACTTTTCACCATTTTCATAATCAGTAGATAGTTACAGGTTTTTTGTGGTTTTTTGCATTTTGTTTTGGGGGCTCTGGTAAAATATATGCCAATAGAGATATTTTGTATAAATTTATGGTCAAAATTATAGATTTATGCGAACATGCGTCGGTAATAGTTTTTAAATTATCTTGCTGGCCTTCATATTACAGTCCTGCTTAAAATATTTGCAACTATTTCTGGGAAATTCAAGGTTTAAAAATTTATTAATTTTTGTAGCTTCGTAGTTTTAACAGGAAGTGTTTAAGTAGGTTATTTTCAAACAAATAACAGCTGCAAAATTTTGAACCGCACTGTTATACTGTGCTGTACTATAAATGAACATAGACTTCAGTGGGATTTTCTCGAACTAGATAAGAAAGAAAACAGTTTATATGAGTTTTAAATTCACCGAAACAAAAAAGCTATTTGGATAGACTTCCATAATTGTACTTTGGGAACATTTAAGAATTTTTAAAATGTATAATATTTCTAAGAGCTGTTTAAAACAATGTTTTGCTTTTTAATTACCTTGAGATAAATCCAACGCCTCAGCATATAAAATGGATATGTTTTGAGCAAATGCAATGACAACGTATCGCTTATAATTTGAAATCAATTTAGTTTAGCTTTGACCAAGTTTCAAATCCTATTTCAGTTGTGACTCGGTATGATTTAATTGTTCACATTTAGTAGTTTTTTCGTTTTTAGCTCATCATAACGCCTTAACTCAATTGTACTTGGATGCGGAACTTTAAAAGAACTTCAGGAAGTACTTAGAATCCAAACTAAGGAGATGGCCTTTCAAAAGTACAAGTGCATTATTTTTCTGGCAATATCAAAAGACTTAAGGCACAAACACCTTCGCATTTTTACGACAAAACAACAGACTTAAGACACGAACACATTTATATTAATTATACCCTGACCTATATGGTTTTGGAAAGAAGATATAATTTGCTATGGCTAAAATTTGTCTCATTGAACTAACCGAAGGGAGTATCCTACTTCATCCTAACTCGGTACTTCGTAATATTAGATTGAAACTTAGATCGAGTTCAAAGATGGGATAGATAGGCCCACCCCTCTGGTAGCTTCTCAACAAAAGGTAATAATTAACCTCATAGAAAGAGAAGGGATCATCTGATTTTGTTAAAACTTTCAAACCTTAATATTAGTATCTGTGCTAGATCAGTTGCGGAAATGGGCACTATTGATCTAATCCCTCAAAGTGGCAAATTTTTGTTTTTTTTTTTAATTATACCCTACACCAAAAGTGGTATGGGTATCATGTCTTTGTGCATTTGTTTGTAACAACGAGGAAACGAGATAGACCCATAGTTCTTTTTGGTGAATCACATTTTCCGTCCATCCGTCTTTCCATGTATTTTTGTTAACAAAATGCAGGTCACATTTATTATTCGATTGAGATTAAATTTTGCACAAGTCATTTGTTTGTCCCAGGGACGAACCCTATTGAAATTGGAGATAATCGGCCAATATTTAGATATAGCTCCCATATATATATATATATATATATATATATATATATATATATATATATATATATATATATATATATATATATATATAGATATATTTATATATATATATTCGTCCGATTTGCCTTGTGTACCAGGCCAAATAGTATAGAATTTTGCACATACAATCAAATTAGACCGGAAAAAAGGTATGCCAAATTTGATCGAAATCGGTTCAGATATAGCTATAGCTCCCATATATATTTTTCAACTTCCGCAGCCGTAATATGCACTCTGTAACATCACTATTTGGGGAAATATATCAAATACAGCTCAGAAATAACTCTGCTAAATTTTATCCACATCGAAACAGATTTGGATATAGCTCCCATACATAACTTCGTCCGATTTGTCTTTTATTGTGCACAAAACGTGTAATATTAGACCCAATGTGATGGAATTTGGCACTTACGACCGAATTTAGTCTAGAAGCTAGTATGTCAAATTTCGTGAAGATCGGATTAGATATAGCTATAACTCCCATATATATTGTTCATCCGATTTGTTATATTTGTTCGCCACAGCCGTAAGATGCACTCCGTAACAATTATATTCAGGGACATATATCACATAAAGGAGTGGCCGATAAATCCTATATTCACATCAGATCTCTGATTACAAAGTTTTAAAGGAATCGATGGCTTATTTGCAAATTATAGCATACAGCATAGCAAGCAAGCAAGTTTGCACAAAATTGGATCATCCTTGCGTCTTCTATGCTGTAAATTATTTTCTTTGAAAATGTTGATGGAGTCGATCGATATTGCTCAAATCCGAATTCGATCTAAATTTTTTAATAATATTATCATGTACCAAGTTTGAATCAAATCGGATACTTCTTTCGAGAGTTATAGTGCGCACCAGCAGGCAGACGGACGGACACCCATAGATCGACTCGAAATGTCCTGAAACAGATTTGGTCCAAGGAGAACTAGGGTCTAAGGCTGTTATTTCTAAGGCCGTTATTTCGATTAGGCTGTGTTAAAACGTTTCGGTATAAAAGCCCGAAAATATTCCCTAATTATATCCGCCATATGGCTATAGAGGGTATATACCATTTGATACGAAATAACGTTTTAAGACCTTATATCTCTTTGGACCAAATCCGTTTCAGGACATTTGCAGTTGATCTAGAGAAGTCCGTTCGTTCGTCCGTTTGCCTGGCGTGCTGGTGCGCAAGATAACTCTCGAAGGGATTATATAATCATGTCCAAACAGTCCTTCTACTACCTCGCCCTAACATCTCAAACTCTCATAAAATGCGAGCAGTTACAGGTACCATAATGTCCTTAATAAACCTATTATTTAATGACAATTTTTGCTGAGCAAAGATAAACCCACATCCAGCCATTTTTAGCTGCAGCTCCTGTCGATCAATATTTAGTACCTTTTTGCATTTTATGTGCTCTTATAGTGGTGATTTCCAAAAATGACACCTTCATATAAAAACTTTATCCTTTTGTTTAAATAATGGGTTAATAATCCGATTTTTGATAAGTTGTTTTGCTCCAATACCAATATTTATTGAAATGGTATCGAAAAGCCAAAATATCCAAAATCCAATATATCTTTCTCCATCCGGAATTTAATTACTTACAATATTCGAAAACTTTTTCATAGACCTTTTTAGAAAAAACAAAACTGAAACATAGAATTTTCAAATTACCACAATTTATTTTAACAAAGTCGAGAATAATACAGCAAATGTTGTACAAAAGAGAGTATGAGAGAGAAAGAAATCAGACTAGCTTTTATTTTCTTGAAACCAATAAATATTACATCTAAATTTAATAATAATTTATAACAAAAATATAATATTAAATAAAAAATAATAAATACAAAATCATTCTTAATGTATAACATTAAAATTAATTTACAATTCGTTTACATAGATTTTTTAAGCATTAACGGCTTATAACTTTGATTATTATATTTAGTTTTTAAATATTTTTGTTGTTCTTGTTGTTTATTTTCCAATTTTCATATAACATTAATTATTTGTTTTTCTCATATAGTATGTTGTATATATAGTTTTTAAATTTTCTCTAAAGCCAATTTATTTATTAAATATAATTTAAGAAGGGGGTTTAGGGGAGGAAGATTAAGATAGATGCTTTTCCCAATTTTTTCTTATTTTTGTTTAAGATAATTTTGTATTTTTTAATTTGTTTTCAATTTCAGATATGGTAACTAATTGCTAAAGGTTGGTTGTTTTTTGTGATTTGTTTGTTCGCTTTGTTTTCGTATTCTGTTTTTTTTTCTGGGAGAAATTAAATGTTTTTTGTTTTGAATATTTTTTCAGATTTATCTATATAGTTGTTTTTTTTTTCTTCATATGTATAATAATAAAGTTTATAAATATTTGGTTTTATCTTTATTGGTTTAATAATCTTGATTTGTTAACAACAATTGTGTTTAGTAAACAGTTTTATAATAATTTTTATTTTGTTTTTGAGAGTTTTGTTATAGCTTTATAGTTATTATACACTGAATCGTTTATAGTTTTGATATAGTAAGTTTGTTAAGGAATGTTTTGTTTTTTTTTATAATATATTATTTATCGTAATGTTTGTAGATTATCTTTTTGTATTGTTATAAATATTAGCTGTTTGTTGTTGTGGTAATACCGGTTTTGTAATAAATGCTTTTGTTTCAAAAATTTGCGTTAAAAATTGTATTTTGTTGTTGTTTTTTGTGTTTGTTTTCCGTTTGGTTTTTCTTTATTCTCTAGAGAAATGCATTCTTTTGTGGTACCTTCCGCCATTCAGGTGGGTCAATTTTCCAAATGTATATTGAGGAAATTAGTAATGAAAAAGATTTTAAGCCGCAGTAATGTATGTTTCTGTGGTATTTCTTACACTAGCAGTTCATTTTGACCTAATTTTCGTACCAAACGTTAATATTGAAATTTATATAAAAAAGTTTTTGGATGTTTACGAAATTCTTTACAAATAATTGCCAACATTATTTGTATAAGTAATAATTTGGTGATGTGTTTCAAAGAGAATTAAAATATGACTATGGGTAAAAAACCGGACTTATTTTCCACTTTTGGAAGGTAAAACTCGGCATGAAGGGGATATCAATGGGTTCCCCACATTGTATGGACTGATTATATTTACTATGTAAATAAGCCCTCTTTTCATCCCGAACAATGCATGAGGGTCTTATAACCTCTGATTTGAATTCAGACAGCTCATCATTCTTGTTTTTGAAAACATCTCAAACCCTCTGCTGTTCGAATATCCGATGTGAGACCAAACTTCACAGACCATTTTAGCTTATAAGGCTGGAATTCTTCAGCTTATGAGCTTTGAAAATCAGTAGGAACCACTATATAGATCTATAACAAACCAGTAAGGAAAAGTCAAAAGTGGGGCGTGGCCGACTATATGACACCCTCTACCACTATGCATATTTAGTTGAGCTCCCGTAACAAAAGAATTTATTTCAAGTAGATCACACCACCTACCAATATTTGGCATTAGAGCAGTTATAGCTTGCTATAGAGTGCATGATATTACTTGGAGGAGGGTTTTATTAAAAAAACAAATATTTTTGAGTTGAACAAACTGGAAACGTACGTCCCGAAATTCACTCCATGTAGGCTTATATTAGCCATTATTTGTGCAATGAACCTGAAATCGGATGAAGGATATATAAATCGAATAATTTATTTATCCAAATCTTAGCCCATCTCGATAAATTTTGGCAAATGCTTTTCCGAGCTTTATAAGATATCTGTTACCAAATATCATTCTTGTGCGTACCAAATCGGTTGAAATCTGAACCGATCAAAATTTGGCAGTGGTATTTCTGAGCTCTATAAGATATCGGGAACCAAATATCTTTGTTGTCGAATGCATATTACGAAATTTAGGGAATTAAACAGAAAATCAGATGAAACATATATATGGAAGCTATAGCTATACCTGAAGCGATTTTCACCAAAATTTGAAGCACTTGCTTTTAGGTTGAATTCCGTCGGAAGTGTCAAAATTCACTCTATATTAGCCATTTGAGCTACAAAAAACCTGAAATCGGATAGGGATATCTATGGGAGCTATATCCAAAACTGAAATTGAAACACTTATTTCTGATATTACGCATGTGAGGGACTTAAACACCCAAATTGGATTGAACATATATAAGGAAGCTATAGATATATCTGAACCGATTTTCACGAAATTAGAAGCACTAGTTTCTATGATGAATTCAGTCCGAATTGCCAAAATTCAGTCCATTTGGACTGATATTAGCCATTTGGTGCACAATAAACCTGATATCGGATAAAAATATATTTGGGAGCTATATTCTAATTTGAACCGATCTCGACAAAATCTGACAGGGGTATTTTCGAGCCATATCTTATGTCGGTTGAAGATATATAAGGGAGATCCTTAAGGGTAACTATGGGTTTATCTCGCTTCCTTGCCCATGTTACAAACAAATGCTCAGAGACATAATACCCTTTCCACTAAATAATGATTTTTCGCAATCTGTTTGATAGTTATATTACGATATACCAGTTTAGACGAAATCGGATACTACCTTCGAGAGTTATCGTGCACACCAGCCAGTCAGCCTCACGGAACGCATTTGTTCCAAAGAGACCGTTATTTTGATGAGACAAATTTTCGGCTGTATCAAATGATATCCTCAGTAGCTGTAATGCTGACGGTATAGGAATTCGTCACACATAAGTAGCATAAGTTCTGACATATCGCTTACCCAAATATTTGACATTTTCAAACCCTTAGTTTATCTATGCTTTTCTCATAGTGGAGATAACTGAATGTTTAAACCGAATTTATCATGATTTTGAGTTGTGGAATTAAAAATTGCAGCCAGAACCGATTTTAAAATTTTCACTTTGCTGCTAGACATTTTAGTTATTTTGAAGCCCTCTGTGGGACACAAGAATTTGGTGCACTTATTCTATGTTTTATTCTAAACCTACAAATTTACCATTGCATGGCAAGGTTCTTTGTGGATTTACCAATATCATTAATATTCGTCGAAGAAGATATCTGATGTGGTGGCTCCATTGGCTTTTACGTCGCATTTTAAATGTTCCGATAAAATTATCAGAAACAGATGTAAACCTTTAGACCATATTCCATATCATATTCTATGTATTTTATCAATTTGCTGTATTGAAGCGAAAAAAAAAAAATAAAATAGAAATCTTCGTCTGTTCTTCATTACCAATAGTTCATAACAATTTTAAATACATAACCTACATCCTGAATAAAAATAATATTTTTTTTTAATAGAAATATAACTGCTTACCTATTGTGAAAATAATTAAAATTAAATATCAATCATGAAAATGTCCGGGTACACCAATTGGGGGGTATGGATAAAATTTTCCTCAATATGATCCATAAATTAATGAAAGATGTTTGAAAAATATCGATATTTATGGATGAACTACAAAAGGGGAGGCATGAAGAAATGTGGGAGAGATAGAAAAAGAGAGAAAGGAAGAAAATTTGGTGAGTTGGTTGGTTGGTTGGTCGGGAAGTGGATGATGATGACTTCGAAGATGGAAAATAATGAACGAGAATAACAAAATCATGCATTTCTCTGACAAGCAACAAAAACAAAAACGAGATAATTTAATTTGATTGTTTTAAGCTCAATTAAAAATAATAAATTATATACGTTTTATAAATACATTTGTTTTGTAATAAATATCTAATTCATTCCATTACTTTTGTTACTGTTAACATTGTGCGATTTGGAAAAAAACACTTAAAAACATTTGTGCTAAAAATTCCTTAGGTAGAAAAAAATCTTTACAAATTCATTCATTATCATTATTATAATTATTATTGTATAGAGTTGTCATTTTGTGCAAAATGTTTCGAAATTTGTTGTTTGTTGTTGTTGCTGTGTGTTTCATACACAAAAACACATGGGGACTAACAAATACTCGCGCCCTATGCTTCTACAGAGACTAGAATCGTTTAACTTTTTTGTTTTCATTTCAATTTTTCTTTAGTTTGGTTTGAACATTTCCTCGTTCTTCTTCTATTCCCGTAGCTAATAAACTAAAGTTTGTTGTTTTGTTTTTGGTCTATTGTCTTAAATCTATTTTATAATAGTTATCTCGATACTATATTGTATATACTTTAATGTTTAGAAAAAAAGAACAAAAATAATAACAAAAAATCAAATTCTTTTAAAAAGTCTTTGAAAGTTGTGTTTGAATTGGTCATCTTACGCTTCTTGAGTCTTACTGCTACTTGCCGAAGCTGTTTGTTTGGAGTAGTCCAAGCCTTGTAGTATGCTGTGATTTAGTGTGGAGAGTGGGGTTGAGGTTATGCCATCACGCAGAGCCAACTGATAGGCCACCTCAAAAGCTTGTCCCAGCGTCAATATGATATCGGAGGCTAGGTCCTGCGGAAAAAAAAAACACTTGCAATTAAAATTTAGAAAACACCTGTAAAGATATATAACTTCAAATATAATTGAAATATAACTTCAGTCGGTTTACCGATAGATATATGCCCCTAACCTTGAGTTATGACTATTCTAACTGTTGACCCTTTATGGGGGAGGTCCAATTCGTATCGGACCTAAGTCCGATGTAAATATTACATCGTGCCATATTCGGATTATATCTTCTACTTTCTATGTTACAGGGTGAGATGAAAAAACTGCAAACAACTTCAGACTGCAGTCATTTCTAAGCCGCTCGTCCAACAGCTGTTAAAATTATTCCAGTGACAGCTCATTATATTGTTTACAAGCGTACAAAAGCATTTTGGTGAGAACTTTCCAGAAAAAAAGTTATTCATGATGGAATTCAAGCGTGATAGTGTGATTTCTTTATATTTGGCTGGAAAATCACAAGTGGTTGTCGCCAGAGCACTTCAGCATTTAAATGTGAATAAATCTTTTGAGTCTGGTATCATCGCTCGTTGCCGTAGCGTAGATCGACGGTAAGGAAGTGGACGGAAGAAAACATCAACATCAGCAGAAATGATTCGAAAAGTACAGAAGAGACCGCATCGCAGTGGCCGAAATATGGTTCGTGAGCTGATCATATCGCAATATTCTATTCCGCCGCCATAACAGCCGATGGTCGCTCTCGGCTCGTATTAATCGACCATGGAATCAGAATAAATGCCAAATATTATCGCGAAAATATTCTGGAGGATGTATTAAAGCCTTGGGAACTCAAACATTTTGGCCACAGACCTTGGACATTCCAACAAGACTCAGCACCATCGCACTCAGCACGCGAGGAATTGCATTGCAAAATGAGGTTCCTCGCTTTATTTCCAGCGTACAATGACCACCAAAATCGCCGGATACCAATCCGTTGGACTATTGTGTCTGGAGTATTTTGGAAAGCAAGGTTGGCACTAAAAAATACCAAAGTGTCGATCACCTCAAGCAAGCGCTTCGCCGGGAATGGGCCAAAACACCGCAGAGCAACGTTTGGGCAGCGTGTGATGGTTTGATCGGCTGTTTGAAGGCCATAATTCGTGCCAAAGCTGACCAATTCTAACAAATCTAAATTTATTCTAAAATGTGATGCTATTTCCGAAATTTTTTGCTTTCATTCAATAAAATTAAAAAAAATGTCAAAATTGTGGCTTTTGACTTAGTTGCAGTTTTTTTTCTCACCCTGTATAATATTTAACTTAACTTTTATGAAGGATATGATATAAGTATGTATTTAAAATTGTTACCCTGTGTGGGGGAGATACCATAAGGAGTGTGCCGATAAATTCCATATACACATCAGATCTTTTATTAATAAATTTATTGCGATATGTGGGAGCGGAAGCTTATTTCATATTTTATGAGCGTTTTGGCAATTCAAAATGTTCACCCCTTTGTGTGGGAGGTACCAGAAGAAGTGGAGCCTTATCTACCAACTTCACACCAGATACTGTTGTAGTAAGAAATTGAAATAAGCGAAATCCGAGGAAAATCGGACGCATATTTCGCATTTTATAAAATTATTATTCCAAATTTCGACATTTTGCGGGAGAGGTACATGATGATGAGGACCGATACCGCCCATTTTCCCACTGGTTCAAATATTGGGGTTTGCAAAGTTTGCACAAATTTGGATGATCCTTTCTTGTTTTATACAGAAATTTATTTTCTTTGAAAATCTGGACCTTCTATGAAGTAAACAAATATTGCCCATCTCCCAACTTGATCTAAATTTGGCGATAATATTACGATATACCAAGATTGGATAAAATCGGATACTTCCTCCCAGAGTTATAGTGCGAATCAGCCATCTAGAGGGACGGACATCCCTTGATCGACTCCAAAGAGGCCTAGGGTCAAATGCTATATACCCTCTGTAACCATATGGCTGAGGGTTTAAAAAAAGGTTGAGTTAGGTAGAATTGTCCAATAATGGAGCAGTACTTATCATCTCTGATATAAGGAACTTGAAGTAATAAATACATAAAAATCCGAATATAGGGGTAAACTTTTATAAACGGTCCTCTGGTATTTGGGGGATCAAATTTTAAGCAATTCTGTTGAACAGTGGTACTTTAATCGTCAAATTACCAAATATAGGGAGGTGTAATTGGTCGATACCTTTTGTCAGGGACGCACAAAGGGTGAGGCCCTACAAACCCGGCTCAAAGACACTCAACATTTTGAGAATGTAATACATTTGGGTCGGAAACCTAAACGATTTCCACAGGCGGATGGCCGAACATGATTACATCGGCATTGCCTTCACTTACTTGTTATACCCTCCACCATACTATGGAGGGTATATTAACTTTGTCATTCAGTTTGTAACTCCTCGAAATACTCATGTCAGACCCAACAAAGTATATATATTCTTGATCAGCGTAAAATTCTAAATTCGATATAGCCATGTCCGCCTGTCTGTCCGTCTGTTGTAATCACGCTATCTTTCGAACGAATTGAGATAGAAGGCTAAAATTTTGCACACGTGTTTATTTTTCCAGTAGGCAGGTTAAGTTCGTAAATGGGCCATGTAGGTCCACTTTTTCATATAGCCCCCATATAACGGTACCTCCGATATTCGGTATTTTGATGATTTTAGCGACATTATTCACAGGAATTGTTTCAAATTTGGTATTTGAAGTTCGAATTGGATACTACACCCTAAGACAGAAAATTGTCTATGCTGGTCCAGGTCTTCACATAGCCTCCATATAACGGTACCTCCCGATATTCGGTATTTTGATGATTTTAGCGACATTATTCACCGGAATTGTTTCAAATTTGGTATCTGAAGTTCGAATTCTATACTACATCCTAAGACAGAAAATTGTCTGTGCAGGTCCACGTCTTCGTATAGCCCCCATATAACGGTACCCCCTATATTCGGTCTTTTGATGATTTTAGCGACATTATTTACCGGAATTGTTTCAAATTTGGTATCTAAAGTTCGAATTGGATACTACACCCTAAGACAGAAAATTGTCTATGCTGGTCCAGGTCTTCGTATAGGCCCCATATATTAGTACATCCCTATATTCGGTATTTTGACGATGAAAGGTACCATACCCACCGAAATTGCTTGAGATGTGGTATTTGAAGTTCGTAATGTGACAGAATATTGTCTATGCTGGTCCAGGTCTTCACACAGCTCCGATATAATGGTACCTCCCTATATACGATATTTTGATGATTCTAGCTACATTATTCACCGTTTATTTCAAGTTTCGAATTTGAATATGGTAATGGCTTATGGCAAACAATGCCTATGTAAGTCCACGTCGTATAAACCCCAATATAACGGCAATATTCGGTATTTTTAAAATTTAAGATAATTTTTTAAGGATTTTATATTTTTTTAATTTCCAAATTCGTTCCAAATGGTGGAGGTTATTCAAAGTTTGGCCCGGCCTAACTTACCGCTTTTTAACTTGTTTTATAATAATAATTCATGAACGCACAAATTTGTCTTTCTAAGTTAGCAAAAATAGTTGGTAAAAACTTGTAACTTACCTGACTCTCCACATAGAACACGTGACAATAGTGCACCTCATTCTCCTTGGTGATGTAGGCGAAATGTCTTAAATCATCCGCATCTTGGCATGCACAATTTATGTTCTGTATCTCGTGTTCACAAATTGTATTCTGCAAAGGATGAAAACAGAAAAAAAAACAGAAGAAAGACAAACAATGTTACAGATTCATGTGTCACTCATTCGTGGTGTTCATGGTGCGTGCCCAATTCTTACCTTCGTGTTCACATCCAGAAATTCCACGCCGTGATGCGAGATGGCCAGTGTCACAAGAATGCGTTTCTGTTTGTTAAATGATTGATTACGGGCAGCATTGGTTTCTGACTGGGAAGACATTAGCATGTTGGTAGCAGTCGTGTGTTGGGCGTCTTGTTTGAGTTTTTGTATGGATTTGCGCGTCGATTCGGTGCCGCGCAGTTCCTTCACAACCGTTGAGCCTAAATACTGTGCGGAATTAATGGAAAGACAAACAAACAAAGGAGGAAGAGTGAGTGTGTGAATGACACTTTGTTTGTGGTGGTGTTAAATGACACGTTATAATGATTAATTGCCGAACTTATTAGATTATTGGAATTTCCGAAATAAAAGAAACTAAATGAGGGAATTGTTTTTGGCAATTAAGATAATGCGGTGAAAGTTGTACACAGTGACGTTTCCAAGGAAAAAAAAGATATTCCATGTCAAGGATTGGGGTCAACAATTTCATTTGAACAAATATGTAATTTCGACATAAGTGGAAAGGAAACAAGAAATATGATTTATAGACTGTCTATGTATTGCGGTCAACAATAAAATTTTGATGATAAGCTAGTGTAGCGACTAATTTAAATATCATCGGCTCTAGGGGAAAAATTGGTTTAAACTGTCACATCTATTAGCAACACGTAGGTGTCCAACCTGAGGGATGTTAATTTCTGTTTGGCGCCAAAAAACTGAATTAGTTCTGAATAGAAAGTCATGAAAGAGACATTCTGTTGTTCATACATTAGCAAAATTTTATTTGTATGCCCTCACCCTTATACACTCAGATATATGGCTAAAGAGGGTATATAAAATTTGATACAACCAAAACGTGCCTCATCGAAATAATGATTTTAGAACCCAGGACTCTTTGGACCAAATCCAAATTGATTTTGGGGTGTCCGCCCGTCCGTCTGTGTGTCTGGATGGTGAGCACGATAACTCTCGAGAGGGTATCTGATTTGATCCAAACTTGGTACATCGTGTATCAAATTTTGCAAATCCTAATATTTGAATCAGTGCTAGGTCGGTTGGGAAAATGGATAATATCAGTCCTCTCCATCAATATCGCTATTTATCAGTCCACTCCATGAATATTCATGTCTCTAATAAAATGTAAAATAAGAGTTCAATCTTTTTCTCTCTAAGGATAAATAAATGGAGTAACTGGTATACGGAGCATAGGCTGGTCCTTCCTAAAGAAGAAAAAATCGGATACTGTTTTCATGTTTAAGTAGAACTTTTATTTATAAAATTATTGTTATTATCCAAGTTTTCTCCTGACCTAAGGCTGATATAAATGTTGCACCGAATTAAGTTGGAACCACGTCGGGTACTGGTTCCGATCTTTATGAGATATATTGATGCCTCATTTAGATTTTTTTGAACTTAAGTGGAAAAGGTGTTAGGAAGAGTAGGCCGATATATCAATTTCACACTTGATCAAATGTAGACAAAAATTTGACCCTTTTCATGACATCCATCGTAGTATGAGAGTTATATTAAGTGTGCCATTCCGTTTGTAACACCTCAAAATATATATCTCATACCTCACAAAGTATATATATTCTCGATTAGCATAAAATTCTATACCGATTTAAGGATGTCCGTTTTACGTTTAGGTATAGCCCCTGTATAACAGTACATTTCACGTCTTCGTATAGACCCCATGTAATGGTACCTCCCTCTATAGGTATTTTTCTGATTTTAGCTACATTATTCAGCGGACTTATTTCAAATTGACTATCCAGGCCAAGGTCTTAGTATAGCCCCGATATAACGGTATCTGCCGATACTCGTTATTTTGATGACTTTAGCGACATTATTCACTGGAGCTGTTTCAAGTTTCGTATTTTTATATTATAATAGCCTATGACAAAAAATCCCTATGCAGGTCCACTATTCCGTAGGGAGTAAATCCCTACAACCGGTATTTTTAAGATTTTTTAACAGAATTTTTAACGAATTTAACTTGTGTTTTTATTTTTGAAAATTTCCAATTCGTTCGAATTGGTGGAGGATATTCAAAATTCGGACCAGCCGAAATAAATCCTTTTTTACTTGATTGGGTTACATAAATGGTAGGTCAGTAAATATCTCATTCACATGAGATCTATGGGTGTTAGAAATATTTATATATTAGAAGTTTACAGAAAACTTCCTACTAGTTTCGCATCTTATGGGAGTTACAATTATTCGAAAATTGTACCCTTTGAGGTGTAGGAACCTATTTCGCTTGACCTAAAACTAATTCAAATAATATAATATATTTGCTTCCAGTCTGAATTCGGTCGAATATGCCAAAATTCTGGTCATTTGGATTGATATTGGCCATTTGGTGCACAATTAAGCCGAAATCGGTTGAGGATATGTATGGGAGCTATATCCAAATCTGAACTGATCCTGACAAAATTTTATACACTTATTTCTGAACTATATCTGATATTTGGTACCAAAAAAATGTTGTGGAATGCATATTACGCTTGTGAGGCACTTTGAACCCCAGATCGAATAAAACACATATATGGGAGCTTTAGCTCTACCTAAACCGATTTACGATAAAGATATATATCTGAGCTATATCCTAATCTGAACCGATCTCGATAAAATTTGACAGAGGTTTTTCGAGCTCTATGAGATACATGGTACCAAATATCATTGCTGTCGATTGCATATTAGGAATGTGAGGGACTTAAACACCAAATCGGATGAAACATATATATAGGATCTATAGCTATATCTGAACCGATTTTCATTCGCAATCGATATACTTGCTTCTATACTGAATTCGGTCGGATGCGCCTGAATTTAGAACTTTCCCGAAATTCGGATATGCCGAAATTCATATTTTTCTCCTCCTTAGGTAATGTCTACTACCTCTTTATACGACTTTGTACCTCGTACATAATGTCAAAGGTAATGACATTTCCTAAGGATTGACGTTTGTAATTGCCGCCTTTACAGTATTCTACCGACTCTACGAGTACTAACAAGCATAGGATTACGTCCTACTGCTAAAAACCCTTTGTACGAAGGTAATATTGTTCCACGAACAGCCACCCTATAAAAAATACATATTAATCATTTGTGTTTTTATTTTTCTCCAATTTTTTTTTTTCATTTTGCTATGCAAACTACGCTTGTGATGGGACTTTAAACCCCAAATCGGATAAAACATACATATGAGAGCTAAAGCTGAACCGATTTTCTCCAAATTTTATTTATTTGCTTCTAGGGTGAATTTGGTGGAATGTACCAAAACACAGGTCATTTGGACTTATATTAGACATATTGTGTACAATTATCCTGAAATCGGTTGATGATATATGGGAGCTATATCACACAAAGTACTGCTTTATTCTTAAAATCTGTTTATAATATTTATTAAATTCTAGCATTTAGGTAAGATTTAGACTTTTGACGTCTTCTAGGATCTATAATAAAATTTTGTGATAAATAATTTCTTAGAAAATTTTAATATGCTATAATACCGTTTAAAGGGGGTTAGTAACAATATTTTAAAAAAAGAACCAAAAAGACACCTTAGTTGGCTCGCATGAGGTCTCATACTAAATGGTGGGTCCAATATACCGGTCCTTATTGAGTTCTTGGCGGAATTAGACAATACAATTTCCACAGTGTGAAGTTAGCTCTTGTATGTTGTTAAATTAGCACCTTCAAATAATTTTGTAAATTTTAAGCATTTTTTTCGGATAGTATCCAACAACTTTTATACCCTCCAACTTCGAAAGGAGGGTATATTAAATTTGTCATTCCATTTGAAACACCTTTAAATGTTAGTCACTGACCCCCATATAATGGCTTTTTGAAAACTCTAACCGCATTCTCCTAACGATCTATCTGGACTTTGTAGTTTAAAGTGTAACACTTTTAATTCCAGATAATTTTCTATAAAAATGTTTTCTTTACCTAATGGTGGAGGGTTTTAGAAGTTCGGCCAGACCGAACCTAATATCTTTTTTTACTTGTACCTATTTCAAAATATTACATACACATAGCAAAAATTTCAAAAAAATATTTTAAAAATAGGAAAAATATTCTGAGTTGAGTTATTTCCACGACATCTATTCCCACCTCAGCGAAATTTCGAAAAGTTATAAAAATCAGATGCTTGGAAAACCGGTTAATTTTGTATATAAAACTACCAAAGTTGTTCGAAAGAACTTATTTGGGTTGGTAAATTTACGACCGTTAACGGAAAATTAAAAATTATTGCTCTACTTACATAAACTTCATATTTAATTTGATCATTGAGCAAATCATTTGCTGAATGACGCCATTTTGTGCGTAAATTATCGGGTAAACCCAATAGCAATTCCGAGGGTGCACGTATCTCCAACGATTGGGTCGAAGAGGGAGTCTGTTGGGTGGCCTTCTGAGTGGGTGGTGGTGGAGCAGGTCTAAAAGAAACTTATTAGTAAATAAAATATATGACATATTAGAATCCTTGAGTTACCTATTCTTGCGATACCCGGTGGCAGACTGACGTTGAGCAACGCCGCCACCACCAGTTGTAGGAATTTTATTCGTTTCATTGTTTTCACCCAAAGGTGTTTTGGCTGATTTGGGTTCACGCATCTGTTTGATGAAGGCAATCGATTGCAGGATGCGTCGACGATGACCCAGTTTATTGATTTCCAGCACCGTTTGCAACTCCACATCCCAAACGCCACAGACACTATCCAGGGTGTTGTAGAGATGTTTGCTACAAAGTAAAGAAAATTTATGGGATTTCAAAGAGAGTACGTGCGGTAAAACCTACTTGAATGAGTCTATATACTGGGGTAGTTGTATGGCATTTAGCCACTGATTTAGTGAGCCAACACCCTTTATCTCATTGCTGGTCTTATTTTCCTGCTGAGACCTCAGTGGAACCTGTGATGGAAATGCAGCCTTGGGTAAGGTGGCCACAAATCTTAGTAACTTGGCACCATCCTGTTTGGTAATGCGCATTGCCTCCAAATCACCTTCCTCCAAGACACCATTCTGAAAGGGAGAAAATTAAAGATAAAGCTCCAGAGAGGATCTTCCAACTCACCATAAACTTATAATTATCATAGCCATGCTCGAGCAGCTTCTTTTCGAGTTGGCCCAGTCCAGCCTTGCGCAGACGGCTTGTCAACTCCTGGCGCTCGACAGGAACTTCAACATCATCGAAATCCAAATCATTTGTGGGCGAGATATCCGAATTTAAAATACTGCTGCCAAATGATTCTAAAATCTCAGAAATTTTCTTGCGGGCCTCCTCAGCATTGAAGGGACTAAGGATGCTGCTCTCATGCGAGGTTGACGAGGTGTTGTTGCTGTTGTTGGTCAAAGAACTATCCTCATTTGAACTTTCTGTGGTGGTAGTTGTGGGCTGGGACGATGTGGTCTGTGTAGTCGTCTGTGATTGGTCCTCAATTGATGAGCTATTTACCGAACTCTGATGACTAAGTAGAGTGTCATTCGTTTCCGCTGCTTTAACAGTTTCCTTGCTCTCCACTTTCGCTTCACTAACTTTGGGAATGTTGTTTTCGACCACCGTTTTTGGTTCATTCAATTCTTCATACAGATCATCCGAATCATTTGTCATTTCCTGGTCTAAATCCAAGTCGTTGTGGCCATCATTCGTTGGGTTTCCAGACTCTTGGCATTCCATGTTGGGGACTTGCGGAGCAGCAGCTTTAAATAAACGCCTTTCGGGTATAATGGGTTTGGCAGGAATTGGTGGCCTTGCCTTGGCCACGTTGGGTTCATTGCTACTGTGCGCTGTCGTGGAGATGCCCCGTTTCTTGTGAATCGTGGCATAGACTGGTACCTGTGTATTTGGTGGCAATTGTTGTTGTGGCCTTGGAGGTGGTAGTTGAACTTGAGGTGGTTGCATTTTGGCGCTTTTATTTACCGTTGCATAGGCAGGTTCAATTTTCTTATTGCCATTATTCATGGCAGCCGTGGAGCCTTTGAGTAGTCCAGCCAAAGGTTGGTCGCTCACAAATTCTTCAACATTATCGGTGGAACCACTGTGATCGGACAGCGATATACTCGAACTGAGCGAACCCATTGAACCTCGAACTGGTCCCGATCCAATTGTGGAATAAATATTCGATGAAAGTGTGTCCATGTTCGTACCCGCGGTCTGAATGTAGGCGTAGTCGTAATTTGATGTTGGCTTCGGAGTGGTATTCGAATTTAATTGTTTCAGAGGTGATGTGCCGATATCAATCAACAATTGTTGTTGTTGTTTTTGCAATTGTAACAATGCCGACCGGCGTTTATATTCCTGGCTCAATGGTCGAATGCGTTCATGTATGACTTTCTCAGCGTGACTCGATGATGGTGGCGGATGATCGGGGGTCGGTGGTTGTTTGTAGTTGGTTGGACTCTGTGGAATTTGTGGTTGGTTTGGATCGTTTTCACTATTATCGCCGAGGGTTATGGAACTGGAAACAGAGAAATGTGGTTAATTGTGTTATATATTTAATTAGCTTGATTAATAGGAACATTTAAAACAAAGGCATGGAAAAATGATAGGAGCGATATGGAAATATGGCATTGATTTTTTTTGCTCCGCGGAGTTTTGGCTTGCTTCTCCATTTTCTTTAAATATTCATTATTTTTAAAGTCTTCATATGTTTATCTTTAGGTCTCATCATTGTTTTCAATTGACTTCACTGCGTTCTTTTGGGGATATTGAGGAAATAGCGCCAGTTAAAAAATGTAAAGATATTGGCAATGCTTTATACTTTACAAGAACCTGGTGGAATTTACAAGAACACAAGGAATGACAGCTCAAAATAATTTATTTTTGCTACAGCGACAACCCTGTCGCAATGAATTTAAGGTAGGATAAATTTGACAAAATTATAAAAAATGAGGTCTGACTGAAACCACACACCATGTCCAGAACAAAAGACGGAAAATAAATTTAAATTTGTGGAAATGTTATCTTTGAAAAAAAAAAAAAAAAACAAGTAAAAAAGCTGTAATTTCCACCGGGCTGAACTTTGAATACCCTCCATTATATGGTACAAATTTGGCAATTTTCAAAAAAATTAAATTTGTTACAAATTCTGTTAAAATCTCAAAAATAGCAAATGTAGCCGTATATTAGGGTCTATACGACGACGTGGACCTGCATAGGCAACTTTGTCATAAGCTATTAATAGAGTATTCAAATGCAAAATTTGAAAATACCGAATATAGGAAGGTACCTTGGGGGTTATAAAACGTGGACCTGCACAGAAAATTTCCTGGCATAGGCTGTAGTATCCATTACGAACTTCAAATGCGAAATTTGAAACAATTCCGGTAAATAATATCGCCAAAATCATCGAAATACCGGATGTCGGTGGGTACCGATCGTCGATTTAGCAATGTCCGTCCGTCTATCCGTCTGTAGAAATCACGCTAGCTTCCGGGCGAAATGAAGTAGGTTGATAAATTTTACTCAAATGTGTATTATGTCTGCAGGACTTTTGGTATTGAAAATGGTTCAATACTTATACTTATAGTTCCAATATAACGGTAACTGCCGATATTGCGTATTTTGATGATTTTAGCGACGTTATTTACCGGAACTATTTCAAATTTAGTATTTGAAGTTCGTAATAGATGCAACAGCCTAAGACAGAAAATGGGTCATGTAGGTCCACGTCTTCGTATAGCCCCCATATAACGGTACCTCCCGATATTCGGTATTTTGATGATTTTAGCAACATTTTAATAGAATTTTTAACAGATTTTATTGTTTTTGAGAATTGCCAAATTCGTTCGGTGGAGGGTATTCAAAGTTCGGCCCGGCCGAATTTTTAGCTTTTTTACTTGTTTTTTTTTTTTTTGGAGTTGTCTTCGCCGAGCCGAAAATTGCCTATATGGTACCCTCTCGATATTCGACAATTTAATGAATTTATTCAGATATTTTTCAATGGGTTTATTCCTAAGAATAGCCAGCATATTGGAATTTTACGGTAGTCTTAATAAACAATAATCATCTTGCAATGATAGGTCTATTTGGAATATATTATTCATATTTGACATTTTAAATGGATATCTTGGGAAAAATGCTGCCCCACCGAACTCCTATGGGGAAAATGACTTATGTTAAGGTTTAATTTATTGAGCCTTTTTTAGCGTGATATTGATAAAAAAAAAAAACACACACAAATCCATATTTCAGTTTCTGAAATGTAAATGTAACTTTTCGCAAACGGCTGAGCTTTTATTGTAGCCTATATTCACGGCTTCGTTCGGGTGTAATACTGAATTTAGATTTCTTTTTAAGTATAACATACATAACTTCACACAAAAAATGTCAATATAGGAAGGAACGCATCCGGATTACATTTCCGGGAATATATTTCAGAATGAATGGCATTAATGTAGAATAATAAATTATTAAAATAATGAACAATAATTTTTTGCCGAAAAATGGGATTTGGGCCCATCATTGTGCATTGACAACCAACATTGATAGATAGAAAGAAACTGACTCAACAACGAACGCACTCGTATGATTCAAAATCAATTCATCAGAATTTGTAACCTCTAGATAAGCACAAATTATTGAATATCTTCTTTAAATTGAAATGCTTTATTTTCAAGAACATAATATTGTTTTTGGTTTTTTCAGCACCAAAGGATGACGTTTTTAAAGCCATGACAACGGTAAGTAATTACAACCTTATATCACATTACGAAACGAATTTACTGATTCAATCCCTCCCTTCAATCTTCCCTTCCGAACGAAATGTTGTGAGATTTCTTATTTACGAAATATTTAATTATAGACAATCCAATATCTCTCTAAAAATCCGATCGATTAAAAATTCAATTAGTACTTACTAGCTATTGCGGTTCCTTTTCAATTTCCGATTTGGATTATATGATTTCAATGTGGCATTATCACTATTACCAGTATCCGCTGATATATTATTCAAATTTCTTGGTGCTGGCTTTGGTCTCTTCATGGAATTGCTCATATCCTGATTGGAATTTGGCACAAGGTTTTCAATATCACCCGTGAGGTGGCGTTTTTCCAACATATCGGCTGAAAAAAATCGGTTAAGTGAGTTGATTCCACCGGAATATTATCTTATTGAAAACTTACTGCTTGAGCTTAATGATATACCTGCTGAAGATCTTGTGGTCTCTCGTGCACTGGCAAAGAGACGGCTGCCCCGCTGACGATCACATAGCTGAGATTCGTCAAAACTCATACCGCTAACACTGCCATGACTTTGATGCGAGAAGGGACTGTCATTCGAAGGGCTACGGGTTTGACTACGACTGAAATTGTTTTGTTGTTGTTGCTGCTGCTGATGATTGGGCGAAGTGTAGCTAAAGGGTTGGCCGCTATTTGTAGGCGATACAGAGAGATTTCTCCGTGGTGGTTTTTTGGGTGGTGCTGCCGGACCGAAACTGCTCAGTGTTGGCGGGTTGCCCACAAAACTGGAAACACCGCCTGGAAAAAGGAATATATCCTTGAAATTAGGTGAAAATATTAAGTTATTAACTCTTGTAAATACCCGTGGAACATCTTGATCGAGGTGAAACCGAGGATGGTTCAAAGCTGCTCATCGAAGACGAGGGACTAACACCCATTTCACTGAAACACAAAATTTCGAACATTATTCCCCAAGAACGAAGATTTATACTCTTCCACTTACTTCTGTGATGTGTTCGATTGACTGCGAACGGGCGAACTTAGCGTGTCATGATAGAAACGATTGCCAGCACTTTGACCACCACTGCCGCCACCACCCGTTCCTCCCGTACTGCTTGATGTATCATCCAGCTGTAGCCCACTATCCAAGGACTTACCTCCCCCATTGAAGGTGGCACCGGAACTAAATCGTTGTTTGCTATACGAGGACTGCTGCATGGACAGGGAATGATTCAGTAGATGGTTGTTCGAATTGAAATGGTAATGGTTGTTGTGCTGCTGCTTCTGATGGTGGCTGGTCGAGTTGCCGGCATGATTTCGTGGCTGTGTTGAATTGGATTGCTGCTGATGGCGATATATCACTTCGTCGCCATCATCGGTATCCATTTGATTGCGGAAATCTAAAATTTCATTAGAGAAGATAAATATAATATCCTCTAGCTTCCCCCTCAGTTCCTCCCCCCCCCACTTACTATTTATGACATCTATTATGTGTTTGGTTACATGCGGTGGAAATTCTTTCAAAATATCCAAAACTGTTCGATCCTCAGCATCGGTGGCATTCAAGTCAATTCCAGCTTTAAGTAAAGTCCTTACCACCGTCTCCTTGCCACACAGGGCAGCTTCGTGCAAAGCCGATCCCGAGGGTGTCAGCAGATTAACATTTACCCCTGACCCCAATAAAACATCCACAATGGCTTTGTGACCATTCCTACTAGCCAGGTGGAGACAGGTATGAGAGAACACACATCTGTTGGGTGTGGCTGGCGATGAAGGTGAGGGTGTAGACATTGAACCTGAATGTGGCAAGGGAGAGGAATGTCTTGAACGATTATTACTTTGATTTTCAGTGGCCTGCACTGTGTAGGGTGCCAACAGTTCAGGGTGCGCCCGTATCAAAATTTGCACTGCCTGTAAACGGCCATATTGACAGGCCAAGTCCAGCGGAGTCTCTCCTCGGGTATTTCTCATATTGGGATCAGCTTCATGGGCCAGCAGAATGGACAAGGCTCCCGTATGTCCATGTTGTGCCGCACAATGCAAAGGTGTCTCCTTTTCGATGGTTTGCAAGTCAGGATTTGCTGGGCGATAAGGATGTGTTAGCAGCATTTTGACAATTTCCTCCTCGCCCGCCCACGCTGCCAAATGCAGCGGTGAGGAACCTCTCATATCGGGTAAATTTGGCGATGCTTCATGATTGAGCAATAATCGCACAATATCTGTATGTCCATTAAGGCAGGCATGATGTAAAGCTGAATAGCCACCACTATCTTGTACATTGACGCCAGTGCCACGCCTTAAACTGGCCAACGGGCCCGCCCTCTTGGCCTTTTGATTAAGTACTTTCTCAATATACGAGATATTGCCATTGCGTGCTGCCTCTAAGAATTCCTGATCTTTGCCCATGTTGATGGATTGCGAATGTGATAGCCTCTAATGCCTGGGCGGGATGATGTTTGGAATGTAAATTATGTGCGTTTAATGAAGTAGAGTTAAGTTGCGGCGAAGGTTATCTGCAAGAAAAAATAGTATTGTATACAAATTCCGTAAAAATGCTTCACAGCCCTAGGTTGACGTGTTTGCTAGAGAGGAGAGTGTATAACTTATAAACTTTCCCTGTAGTAAAGTTGCCACATTGAGATATCACCTAATATTCCGTCGTTTATAGATTTCAAAGGTGACGGCCCCCTTATAAAGGCTATCGCGAAAAAGATACCAAAGTACAATAACGCCATGAATAGTTCATGTTTCAAAATTTTAAGAATGGAAAATTAAAAATATCTCAAAAGTAGTATCATCTTGGAAAAACTGTAACTTGAAAACCCTTTTGAACGCAGAAGCATCTGTTGGGCTAAAACTTTAAGATGCTCGTCAAGAAGGAAGAGAAAACCTTTCAGTAAATACATTTGGAATAAGAACGAGTTCCATTGAATCAGTAAGAATCAAAGGAATTGACCATCGTTAACTAATCTAAATCTCTTTCCAATATTTCAACTTTTCGAAAATAAAAAATAAACTTTTTTTATAAACCCAAAATTATGATAATTTTTATCCTACACATTAAGTTTAAATATTTCTTCAGTTCAAAGTTTAAATGAATTGCATCAAAAAGTTTTTTCCATTAACATTTCCCCAAAAATATTAAGAAAAGGCAGAAAGGAAAAGTCAAAAGTCGGGCGGGGCCAACTATATGATACCCCACACCACTATGCATATTTAGTTGATCTCCAGCAACAAAAGAATTTATTTGAAGTAGATCATACCACCTGTCTATATTTGGCTTTAGAGCAGTATAATTTGGTTTCCGAGTGAACTCATATATGGGAGGCATATCTAATTCTGAATTGATTTTCACTAAATTTGACGGAGTGACATCACTTCGAGCAGGATTATATAACAAAATATATATCGGAGTCGAGTTCCATCAAATGAAAACGTACGTCGCGAAATTCACTCCATTTGGGCTGATATTAGCCATTATTTGCACAATAAACCTGAAATCGGATTAAGGATATTTATAAGCTACATCCAAGTATTAGCCGATCCCGATAAAATTTGGCAAAGCTATTTACGAGCTCTATAATATATCTGGTACCAAATATCATTGTTGTCGAATGCATATTATGAATGTGAGGGACTTAAAGACCAAATCAAATGGAAGCTAAAGCTATATGTGAACCGATTTTCACCAAATTTGACGTACTTGCTTCTAGACTTCCAGTCGGATGGACAGATATTGGCCATTTGGTGCACAATTAACCCGAAATCGGTTGAGGATATATGTATATGGCAGCTATATCTGAACCGATCTTGATACAATTTGGCAGAGGTATTTCTGGGCTGTATCTGATATCTGGTACCACATAAATATGGACCAGCTTGGTTTAGGGTTAACGGGTGAAGTTGGGATTTTTAAATTTTGCATTGGGGTCCTTGTGGGCGGTTGGTTTATGATGAAGAGGTTGGTATTGAAATGGGTTCTGTAATTGCACAAAAAGTACTAAATGGTACTATGCTTGGTATTGGATATAAGATTCTGAAATTTGATATTCAGATTAATTATGATATCTGTGTTTTAGCTTTGGCGGTGGTTCGGAAATTAGCCCTATATTTCTACGAAAAGTACTAACTTGAACTAAATTTGGTATTGGGTGAAGGAATAAAGCTGAAATTCTGAAATTTTATATTGGGATAACGGTTGGTGTCTAGGATTGAGATGTGGAAGGATTTTCCATTTGCTCTCATGGAACCTAGGATGAAGAGATGTAGATTGTTTTGGATATGCATACTAAGTGCTACTAAATTTAGTATTGGACGATAGGATAGAACTGAAATTCTGAAATTTGATGGAAGCTATGATTATTTAAAATGTTGACCCGTTGTGGGGGAGGTACCAAAAGGAGTGGTCTGATATATTGCATCTTTACATCAGATATTGTTTTGATAGCAAAATTCGAATGTACCGAGTTTGAAAAGAATCGGTTGCTTATTTCGAGGTTAATGAGTTGCATGGTTAATAAAAATGTTGACCCGTTGTGAAGGATATATTACTTCTTCATAGCAAATCTTCTGTTGATAGAATGACAATCGGACTCTTGTTTCACATTTTATAAGAGTTATAATTATTCAAAATTTCGAGCCTTTGTGGGGTAGGTACTTTATGGATAATACCAATATTTTCCATTTTCTCATCTGATCTGATTTGCAAAGTTTGAACAAATTTAGGTGTACCGTCCTCGTTTTTGAGGTAAATTATTTTTTATGAAAATTTTGACCTTTTGTGGAGGAGTGGGCCGATATTGCCTATCTCTGTACACGATCAAACTTTGATAATAAAATTACGATGCACCATGTTTGGACCAAATCGGATTATCCCTTCAAGAGTTATAGTGGGCACCAACCAGACAGACGGACACCTCTAGATCGACTCCAAATGTCCTGAGTCGGATTTGGTACAAGGAGACCTTGGGTCTAAAATCGTTATTTCAATGGTTTTGGACCTATCAAATGATATATAACCTCTGTAGCCATATGACTGAGGGTATAATAAGTTTTTCCTGGAGTTATTTTTTAGGTTGGACAGTGGTATAGTGGTGTAAGGTGTCACATAGTCGACCAAACCCGAATATAGCAATTTCTTACCAACTTTTTGCCAGCGAGGTTTTGTAAGCACTATTCCATGTTTCTTTCAATGGTAATTTCGATTCAAGATAAAAGTTATTCATTGGCAACGTAGTTTTGATAGAAAACGCTTTCCCTGAATTTACTCTTGAGCCATAACTTCTGTTAAATTTAGATCTAGAAATTTGTTAAATTTAGAATTATATATTGCCAAAGGATCGATAGAGCCTGGTCACGCTTAGTATGGACCGCAGACAGATATGTTCTTGAGCTAAAAGAGTGCCTACAACTCCCTTTTATAGCCCATGTTTGCTTGGCACGGACCGTAGGGAGAAAGCCTTTCTAATCTGAAGATTTTCCCTACAACTTCCATTGGGACTAAGTTCGCACAGGCTGCGTTTTAAGTCATTTTTCTACAACTTTCTCTAGGCACTCTCCAGCTATTGTTGCCGTTTGTTTGCAATCTCTTGCTAACTACGTGGCTAACTGCATATAAGTTATTGTTTGAACCTCAAAGCTCTCTGCATAAAACGTAATATGTCAGCTCGGTTTGATACCTCTCAGAACATTCAATAAACAGTCATTCATCTTGATATTTATAACACATTCATCCTTAGTTTTATTTATCACTCTACTGCCTTTACGGTCACGGTTTGCATACCTGGGAGAACATTAACTTCTCAAACGAAGAGAAACATTTATTCCTGCCGTATCGAATTCTTTGTAGCGCTCAAACAGGTATATTATGATTTTAGGATTTCGATCATGATGTCTTTGAAAACTAGTGTAGCTTTCACGATTCAGCTTTCCAGATGTAGTTGTTCTGTTTTTTAAGGAGTACTTCCCCACTAAAGTGAACCACGCCCTCAAGCATTTTCTATGGTAATGTCTTAAAGGTGATTTCTATGTTTAAGAAGACGGTTAGTTGGTTTGTCTATTGGGTCTCCCTACGGAAACAAGAGATTACTGCGGTTTGTATTTCAAGTTCATAAATTTTGTCAACTCAAATATAACCGTGTGTTCATGCCAAGCATTCCAACGAAATTTCAATGTTCACATTTGATTTTATACAGTTCACGAAAATTATTCCCTTACAAAGAGTATAACATCTCTATTTCATAATGTTTGTAGATAGGTAAATCTACAAAAATTACACCCTTTACAAGTTTTCCACACAAACGCCGTCAGGTTTTTCATTTCCTCCACCAAAAATTCAATGTAACTTTTGCAAAATTTTGCAATTTCCATTTTGCAAATAAACACAAATTGCAAACAAAAATCGCTAGCATGAATATTCGTTTGGATGCCACACAAAAGTTTCCTTTCATCGCCATCAAGTTTTACTAAATACCTTGCCCTTGGCCACAAGTACTTTGTTCGGTAACTTGAAGTGACTTAAAGTTGATTTATGGCACTCACTCTCCCCCCAAGTGCATTCATTAACTATCAAGTGCATCGTTGTTGTTGTTGTTGTCTCTGTCTCCATCGTCCTCTTTGGCGGACGTCTTTTCATTTTCTTTCAAGCCACATAACTAACCGAGACGACACAGCACGCGATTAAAAAGTAGAGGGTGGATGGCATTCATTTACAGCTTTTCACACGCCAAACCTTTTGCGATATTATCTGCATAGTTTCTAATCTGCTGCCGCTTCTTCTTCTTTGTCATCTTCCTCCTCTTCGAGATAACTACACTGACAATATATCAGATTTATGTTGTTGGTCCCCACCTTGGGCCATTGTGAGAAATTAATTGCCATCATAATCTCGGCAGTATCTGCCGCTGTTGTTCCTTTTTTGTTTTTTAGTTCACAGGTGAATTATCAAAGCGAGATTTCTTTTTTGGTTTTGTTTGCAAATCATAATAGCAATAATAATGAGCATAATGGGCGGAAAATAAAACGTCAAAGCTAATGCCTTCGAAAAAAAAAGAAATTGTAGCTCAGATAAGTACAAAGCAATTATAAATTCATCTCTGGAAACTATTTAATTCGAAATGATGCCGACATCGTTTGCATTAAATGTTAACCAAGAGGGAAATTAAAATCAGTTGATGATTTTAGGGTTTGAAGGGTATTGAAGGAAAGCAATTTGGTTTGGAAATCATTGGATAGTTGTTAAAATACCTTGTGTATGGGAGTCTTTTCTCAGACAGCTTGAAATGTAAACTCCACAGCTCATGCACTCATGCATGCCAATACAGTTGTGTAGTTTGTAGGGAATATTGACTTGATAACTTCCATATTCACACCAGATCTTTGGTTGAGAGAAATGTTTAGATGAACCAAGTTTGAAGAGTATTGCTGACTTTTTTTCGCATATTATGAGAGATTCAATAATACAAAATGTTTATCCTTTGTGGAGAAGGTATCAAAAGGAGGAAACCAATGTATT